GGAATCGGTCACCTAGTCTTCTGCCTGTTTCGCCGATGTATATCTTTTTGCAATAAGTGCAAGTTATGCAATAGATTACATTGGCGGAGGTGCACGTGAAGCGATCGGTGATCTTAATGGATCGTTTAGGTCCCGATATTTTATCAGTGTTGTGAATAAAAGGACACGCTTTGCATCGTGCACGAGCGCATTTAACGAGCCTTTCGCTCCGACGAAGGGCTAACGATCGAAACGTCAGCTTTTGTAATCGTTACGGTGGCCAATTTACCATTTTAACTTTGTTGATATATCCAAATTATTTCGTTACTCCCACGGACGCAGCCCCAAACAGTTTCTTTCGAAACTATCAGCCTTTATGTTCCTGTACATTAGTCATGTTGACAACTTTTCGAGTAGATCACAGTAATCATAATAATCATATCTTTTATTAATCACAGTAATCATATCTTCTATTAAGCACTAACAACTCCATGCGAAGAGCAAACCAACATTCACGATCGCTTGTATAATAATAATAGTGGTTATTGAACCCAATAAAAGCCAATAAGAGAAACAGGATATTTAACGGAAGAGCTAAGCTTAAATGTTTAACCTTACTTTTCAAGTTGCTGCTGTCAGTATCCTAATCCAATTCGCTGTTGTTAACTCCACCTTCGAAGTTGTGCTCGCGAACATTCTAATTTTTTCAGCAAGTGAGATGTTCGTCTCAGCATCATAGTTTGTTGTTATAACGGCTGTTCCAGTTTTGCCAGAAATTCGTCGTTTGAACTCACATATGGCTCATTTGTTTGGCGTTTGTATGTGAGATGAGCGTATAAGACAGGAATCTTTGCAACGCTATCTTCGCGAAACACAGCATTCTGTAACTTATGTGATACAGAGAGCGAGTGTATGACGACACAAGGTTGTCGCACTCTCATCCCCAGTTTCCGCGGTTTAAGCAAGGAACGCCTGGGACCGTGACCTCCCTTTTGGCGACCAAGAACGGCTTGCATTTTTAGACTCGGGCTTTCCTACGGAAGCCCGAGTAATCAGTTTCGTAAGTGGTTGGACTTCTTTCCCAGGCTCTCTTTGATCATATCGCATCTAATAATGGACTTTTTCCTGTCAAAAGTCTCCAAGTCAGCAAAAAACCAAAGCACCATTTTAGAATGCCAGAAATAACATTTGTAATCTATGGTTAGAACAACATGATCGCCCCGGAAAAAAAGAATCGTGATAAAAAATATGCAGAGACAGCGACAAAAAATTCTGAACGGAAATGTCTTGCTGAAATAACATACAGATCAAAACCTATAAACGAGAGATTCGTGAAAACTCAAATTGATTTTAGAAGGTATGAAATGAATCGTTTGGTATGCGTCTGGAATTTTTTCTTACAGTGCACACTCGCATTGGTTATATATATTACTTAAAAAATGAGACTGTTTCCCCTCAAACGTCCGCAACTTTGCAAAATCCATGACGTCAGAGGGAAACATTAGGAAGATAGATAAGGCACCTTCCTTTTCTAGAGCTCTGACTGTCAAATACAGAACATTCTTAACACGTTTTATGTTGCATCACCTAACAATGCACCACAACAACTATATCGAGGGTCGTGTTTAAAAGTACACAGAGTGATCACAAGCTATGAAGGGTAAGAAGTCATGAAAAGATTTGGAGGACGTCATGATTACAGTGTCATTAAGTCTCTCTATCTAATTATCACGATTAAACTGTAAATAAAACATTATTTTCTTCTTTTCCAAAAGTAGGGGTCGTTGTCGTAGTCATTGTAATAAGTCGTGATCGCTGGTAATCACTCATAGTCACTCGTGATCCCTCTTGGTCACCCACGATCACTCTTGGTCACTGGTGGTCATTCGTGGTCACTCGTTGTCACTCGCGGTCAGTCGTAGTCACTCGTGGTCACTCGTAGTCACTCGTGGTCACTCTTGGTCAGTCGTAGTCACTCGTGGTCCATCGTGGTTCCTTGTGGTCACCAATGGTCACTCGTGGTCATGATTAATTGTGGTCACTTGTGTGTAAATTTAGTCATGAATGCGCGATTTCAAGTTATTTGTCAAATACCGACAACGATTAGTTTACGGTTTGCATAGCTACCTTTTTCAGCCATGTTTACACAACTTTAAGTGTCAGTATCACAGCTGAAATTGTTCGTTTTAATACTCTAGATTACGTAACTATATTCTATAAACGTAGCTCCAGATGATAGGTAGGAGAGCGTTGTTACTTGATATTAGGAACTGACAGGAATTTTCTTTGATCTTATCAGTGTTTGTATGACCATGTACATGAGTCAGAGAGGATCTTATCCAAATATTTGATTTTCTTTTAGAAATTTTGTGCCCTTTATTTTCCTAATGGTTTTAAAATATTTTAAATCAGCTTTACCTTAATTTTCCTTGTCTCGTTTTATCACAGGGGGCCCATACAATCTGTTTGTGTAGCCGACCGTTGTTTTATAGTGAATGTACCAGATTTACCGTTTGCCTCACCTAGAGTGATATATTGCTGACTATGTACATAAATCATTGATAAATAAACGTTGAATTACTTTACCTGTGGTGCATAGTCGTCCTTTTGCCTCAAAAATGTTTTTTTTTTTTNNNAAAAAAAAAAACATTTTTGAGGCAAAAGGACGACTATGCACCACAGGTAAAGTAATTCAACGTTTATTTATCAATGATTTATGTACATAGTTTGCGGTGAGGTAAACGGTAAATCTGGTACATTCACTATAAAACAACGGTCGGCTACACAAACAGATTGTATGTGCCCCCTGTGGTTTTTTTTAAAATGAATACAATTTTCAAACTGGTTGAAAAATCCTTAACGACGACAAAAACGTAACTACAGAACATTAAAAAGGAATATAGATCCACTGGAAGATAGCAATATTTGTAAACTCACGCTTCGCAGTAACAAAATGAAACAAAAAATAAAGCTTAAAAATTACATCGCAGAAAAAACTACTCTCAACACATGATTATAACAAGTTGACTTTTTCCACGATCAGAGCTGAGAGGAACAGCAGCGTCAATGGATAGCTGGCAGAGAATTTTCCTTGACCTAGAACAATGAAAAAAAAAAAAAAAGAAAAGAAAGACTTCAAGACAATTTGTCAACCATTTATTTCCACGGCTAGTTGAATAGGTTAAGTACAAAAGTGAACTCTCTCTCTCAGTAACAACAAAAAAATCATTACATCCAGCGACTAGTTTTGAAAATTTTGCCCTACCGGTGAAGGAGTCAAGTGTAAAAGAACTTCTGTTCCGCGTTTCTATAGAGAACTTAACACAGCGTATTTTTATAACACACCTGCTTTAAAGGAAGCTCTGAATCCCTTGTAAACTGTGGAAGAGTTTCCATCACTCCGGAACTGAACCCAAACCATGTTCCCTTGACTCTGTATCGAACTCGGCTTTGAATTTCCACACAAGCGATTGGTCAGAATTGCACCGTTTACTCCAGATGTTGTTGTGGGATCGTCAGCCTCACGGAACTCAACATAGTCATGTTTGCAATCCTCACTGTCCTCCAGTTCAAATATGTCGAAGTCTATCTGAACCTGCCGACCCTTAGGAACAATTAATAACCATTGTTCTGCGTAGTATGAGGGATAGTTCTTGACGCCAACTTTTGGTGTGCCAAACTCAATAGTTTCATCTTCGGTTGCATTTAGAAAGTTTTCTTCACCCGCTGTAAAATAAAAGTAGTATTTTGCATTCACTCGATATCCTGAGAAATTTTTCTTTAATCTCGAGTCGATTTAGTGATTAACATGCAACACTAAATGACGACGAAACTGAGGGAGAATTGTCCTAAGAATGGGGCCCAAGGGGGTAAGGGGAAAGGGAACTGAGTGCGGGGCGCTTTTACTTCGAATCAAGTTCTACCCGAAAAGTTATCATTGTGAAATAGTGCATCATAAAAACAACGTTATTTCAGCAATAACTCTCGTGGAAAGGTTATCTTTCAACCTTGATCATGTTTTTCTCTCGACCCAGCTTCCCTGCCTACATAGAAACATTTTTGATGAACAATATTATCTCCAGAGCAGGCTTTAAGGCCCCTGTTTAAAAAACTTTGAGAGTTCTTTCACTTGTTTGATCGACGACTTTTTTTACGCTTCCTTGTTTGATTGTTTGCATAGTTCTTTCTTCAGTTACCTGGCAAAGAATAAGCTATGAAGGTTAACTTAAATCCCTTGTAATGTGAGGTGTCATCTGACACGAATCGAAAGTAGAGCGTCGATCCGGGAACACCGCCGAGTAACAAAGCTCCCTAATCAACGTTGAAGAGATATCCTAAGGCTTGTAAATAGTCGTAATGGTATCGTCCACAATTTTTTTCTTCCATGTGTAAACCTTTATAATATGAACAATATTGGTCACTTTGTTTAATTCTTAACTTACATGCCCAGGACGTGGCTATGAAGGTGAAGTTTAATCCTTTGTAATGTACGGTATCATCAGACACAAAACGAAAGTAGAGTGTCGATCCAGGAGAACTGACCCACGTATTAAGATATCCTTGTAAATAATTGTAACTGCGTCGTCCACATGATTTTCGTTGCTGTTTTATATTATAGTAAGAGGAACTAAATAGGACATAGTCGCATCCACAACCAGAGCATACTTCAATGTCGAGGCTGGAGAAAAAAATAGGCAGCATAAAAATTCTGCTTTATCCTTCCACAAACTAACGTAAAAAGCAAACTGGAGATAAATGCAATGGAGGGTCACAGTGTTTTTTGTTTTTCAAGAGCAAATCAATATGAAACAATCGCAACATTTTTTCTGTGATAGTGTAGCCTCTTCTATTCAAGCTGATACAAGTTCCTTTCCTGTGCCTTGTATGATGCCAAACCGGTCTAAATCCAAAATATTTCTTTACCTCTTTAAATTTACTTGCAATATTTTTTCCTTTGCCTTTCGTGTTGGGCCTGACAAGCTCCACCCCAGCATTGATCAAATGATACGATTAAAAATGATTATAATCCTGATTACTAATGTTATTATTTTTCTTGTTATTTTAAAAAAAGACTTTACACGCCTCCTAAAGATTACACAAGGCATCTAACATATTTCAATGAGATTTTAAGGTAGTTTAATTGTTCGAATTGTTATTTCATATACCCTCAACGATCATAACCATTACTATTTCCTCACATGTGCGTGGCGCATTAGCTGCTTTGTTTTTCTCTAATTACTCTATAGAGTTGTTATTGGACAGTGTCACCGGACAGTTAAAACATCGTTAAAAAGTCCACTCAGCTGAATCCACTTATTTAATTCATTAAAATAACCTTAGAAACAACTGAATACCCCGAAAAACTAGGGAATTTCCAAAGTGGAGGTTCATTTTCTTTAAAGAATGTCCCAACCAGAGATATTTTCTTTGAGAAATGTGTTTGTTTTTTCTTTCCCGATATTGTGAAGGCTGTGATTAATTGGTAAAAGGATTTCATGTCATCCAATTCAGACTGTAACCTTCCTCGTGATAGAAAAACCGAACATCCATTTTATGGGTTTCTATTTTTACGATAACGATTAACAACAGCATAAAATCAACTCAAGGCATCGCCTCTAAGCCATAAAATGTGTATGCTGTTGAAAGGTACAGAAAAGGAAAATGTAATCATACCTTAAGTGACGATAGGAAATGCCAACATAAGTGTCGGGAACCGTAATGCTCCAACATTTGGTCTCGTTCTTTCCATAAGTCCCTGACTCAGGATACTTGAAGCTACCACTTGTAGCTGTGATGTTTTTCATACCATTAGGACATGCTGAAGTGAAAACAAAAATTATTTTTACATATTGACTATATTTGTCACCCGGTGATTTGGCAAATTGAGGAGACAAATCCCTTCCTGATAGGTGTACCTTATTTGATCGTATACGAATTAACACTGATTCACGTCGATACCAATGGATGGAACGTTACTTCGCGATTTTGCTCTTGTTCATTATAACTTTAAGTGCGATGAAAAATAAGTAAACCCGCCGCCAGAGAAAGTACTGGTTGAGACATCGATTGCTCGCACATAACCGTGTGACAAATTGTCATATCGATTCATAGCAATAAGCGCTTTAAAGCCTCACCTATCCAAGTGTACCAAATGGAATATCTAAAGTTGAGTTTATAAGAATACTCAGAAATATACACAAAATTTGTATGATTTCACCGCATTGTTTTTGGCAACTACTTAGTTTTTTTTTATTGCGTAGAATTTCATCGTATTACCAAAGGGTAATAGGTCCGTGTTTATTACCTTATTTCTATTTTTATTATTTTTTACAACTACATGACGTTAGGCTGCTCACTTTACTCTCCACTTATCACGCACAAGCCGAGTGAATAGCGAATACAATCAGACTGCGGTATTTTTTTAAAATAGGCAAGTGGGTTTACACTAGCCTTTAAAACTTACTTGAATCGCACTGACCGTTCTTGAGGAAAACTGCTAAAACTGAAACAAGAAAAAACTCAGGTGTCATTAAATTGAAAAAAAACAAACAAACAAAAAAAAAACACAAACAAACAAACAGACAAACAGACAAACAATTGAAAACAAGAACAAAAGGCAAGATATGGCCGTGTACACAGCTAGCTATCTGTACTTCTTTATGACGCTAGAACATAGTGAGAAGGGGTTGTTCCCTAATTGATGTGAAAATACTTAATAGAACACAGACATTAGGCGCAGCGCATGAAAAGCTCTTTGTCCGCACAATAGCCGCCTCGAGGCGGGAATTTCTTGGCTGAGTTCAGTGGTTCTCGTTGTTTCAAAATCAAGCATTGAAATTTCCTTTCTCGAAAGGATTTCATCTGACGATTGACTTTCATGCATTCAGTTCGGCTTTTTAGATCCAGCATATGAAGATGCAATTAATCAAAAAACTCAGGTGTCATTAAATTGTAAACAAATAAACAAACAAACAACTGAAAACAAGAACAAAAAGACAAGATATGGCCGTGTACACTGCAGCTGTTAGCTATCTGTACTTCTTTATGACGCTAGAACATAGGCGTGAAGGAATTGGGAAGCGATAGGATTTTCATCGCAAGAGTATAGACAAACCAAACGGATGTTGTTACATAGCATGAAATTCAAATAGTATCGGGATTTAAGTTCCTTAAGGCCCGAGCAAACGGCTTCAACATTTGCTTCAATATCCATTCGATTTTGTTCAACGCTGTTGAAAAGTTGTTGAATGATGTTGAACGGTGGGATAAGCAAACGCTTTCAACATTTCATTCAACAAAACTTAGCGAGTGGTCTGGTAATTAGTTTCAGGCCCAGCTCTTTACGCGCCTGAGACACTTACAAGGACTTGTATTTTTCACTGGTTGCTTTTCCTGACTTCCAAGAGTTTGTTTTGGCAATCTCGCGACCAAGTTGCGTCCTCGAGGCCCGCTTTTTTCGCCTTAATATCTTGTTTATCACGTTTCAACACATTTCAACACGGTTGAAGGGGGTGGCAAACGCTTTCAACATTGCCATTCAACAAAATCGAAAGGATGTTGAAGCAAATGTTGAAGCCGTTTGCTCGGGCCTTTAATAGAACACAGACATAAGGTGCACCGCATGAAAAGCTCTTTGTCCGCATTATAGCCGCCCCGAGCCGCAATTTCTCGGTTGAGTTGTTTCTCGTTTCAAAATCAAGCTTTGAAATTTCCTTTCTCGAAAGGATTTCATCTGACGATTGACTTTCTTGCATTCAGTTCGTATTTTTAGCTCCAGCTTATCAAAATGCAATTTATCAAAAGGATATCCTTCACTTTAAATATCATCACATTTGCGAAAGTTTTTTAAACTCCTTGCCATGCTGAAGGCGGTCTGGCGAGGTTGGGCACTTTTGTATAATAGGGCATTCACGAAATGAAATCCTGAGGACGATCTTTTTGATTCTTCACAAGATAACACAAAAAAGATCTAAAGTGAATGGAAATCCAAAGAAGTGAGGTCTATTCAAATTGAACGTGAAAGCGAGAAAAGTGATGCCATTGCGTCGCTATTTGGAAACTAGTATTATCATGCATAAATGTCCGAGTATACGGAAGGGTAAACAACTTACCAATTGAAAAAACAGCTGTTACGAGTTGGCTGGATTTAGATACCATCATTCTTCAACAGCGCCAAGCTAATTTTGTCTACAACAGTAAAAGATCAGGTTCCACTGAGTTGAATAGGACAAATGCCCGCAAAGTTGGCAAAACGACAGCTACATTGTTATCTCAATCCGTTACCTAGCACAGATAAACAATAAACAATAAATTAACAATGCCGACCAGTCACGTTCTCTTGCGCTACGTCTTATTTTCCTGTTTTCTACTCATATTAAGACCTCCTAGGGAAATTGACGATGTACAAAGGTGGGTAAGCACCCGGAGCTTCGACTTGGATTGCTTGAGGGTGGAGGGTCTCTGCCATGGCTCTGCGAATGAATGTTTCTTGCCGTGCTTTCTTTCAAGTTGGGATCATCAAAACTCCAGCACATGGGATATTTGCATATGTTTGAGCGTGTACGATACTCCCAGAGAAACAAACAACAAAGCTCATTTCGTCCCTGAGGAACACAACAACAACAAAGCCTGTCTCATTATTTACGCCAAGCGAAGCAAATGATCTCGCCGCCCTTGCTTATATTATATAAATTGTTGTGCCTGCTGTCGTCCTTCTCTTCTACGTTGTGGAGACATAGAAGCAAACCCAGGCCCAAAGAAGTCGCAATAATGTCAAGAATGTGAGCAGACCTTAAGGAAAAATCAGAAGCATACAAAATGCAAATTGACTTGCCTTGCCGTAAATTGTCAAAGCATCAAGAACAAAGTCGCCGATATTGCTGCAATCGTCGATCAATACAAACCAGATATAATTCTCGGCAATGAGTCCTGGGAT